TTTTAAGAATTCTCAATTAAAATTTAGTTCATTCTCAGATAAACCCCATATATACCCAAGTTCAATAATTTGTAGAAAGCTCCAAAAATGTAACAAATTTTCACCTAAATTTGAAACTTTTTTCCCAAAGGTGTTAGAATTTTTTTGAGTACACAGTTTTTTAGCCCCTGCAATTCTAGTCTGATAATGTGCAAATTTCAAGTGGCTACGAATTACCGTTAATTTTTTAGAATGTTTTTTGTCGCATTGGCTTCCATATAATGAATAAACTCAATTTATTTGTATATCGAAGAAAACCACAACACCTTTGGCGAAAAAAATTCTAAAAAATCAACGGTAACTTTTAGCCACTTGAAACTTGCACATTATCAGACTAAAAACTGTGTATTCAGAAAAATTCAAACACTTCTGAGAAAAAAGTTTGAAATTTAGGTGAAAATTTGTTGCACTTTTTTGTAGTTTTATACAAATTTTTTAACTTGGGTTTACATGGATTTTGTTAGAGAAAGAACTGTATTTTAATTGAAAATTCTTAAAAATAAATAAATAAACATAAGTGGCACACAGTATCACTTTGAAATGGCGTGCTATAGATATGACCGATACTGTATATGAATGGCGAACGAGGGCTTTCAGCTTGGAACTCTTTGCTAAGATTGCTATCTATGCGCAAAATATACGATAGAAATAAAAAATAGCATTTGGTTTTGCATCACATTCCTTCTGCCAGGTCTGCAGATCGCATACCGTTTTTTTCATAAAAGCAGGAAATAAAATAAAGTTTCAAACTATTCCATTGCTCAACTATTCTTAACACAACGCTTTCTAGTGAAAGCCATCGTGTTTGAGATATATCCAAGATTTTGTGGGGTTCTACCGAACAGTAAGTAGTCCAGAAATTCCTTCAGTTCATGCATCCCCTTTAGACTGTGGGAAAATAAACTAGAATATATGATGCGGCACAGTGCCTCAATGCGTTACAAGCGTAGATTAAGCAAAGATGGAGTGAGTGGCATGTGCACTTTATATAAAATAAATCGGTCTCTGCACTCAATAATGTTTTCAGCCCGCCCAAGTCTCCAGCCATAGCATTGGCTCCATCAGTGGCCAATCCAATTAGGTTTCTTATTTTTAAAAGCATGATTGGCAAATATGTAAAAGGTCCAATGGGCAAATATTTATATGCAAAATGATGTTTGAAATATATATTTTTATAATAACGAATTTAAAAACTTAATTCAACTATCCAGCCAAATTAAAAAAGAGGGAATTTCTTTAGCCTATAACCATCATTGGGGCGTCTGCAGCAGGTGTCCGGAATTTCAAAAAAATCGGTTTGGCCGTTCTCGAGCTTTGCGGACACAAAAAAACCGGCTTTCAACATATATATTATTATAGATTATAGATTGGTATGAATCTAACTGGTTTTGAATATGTATCAGAATATATATGAGCGTCACGCGAAACAGGTTTAAAAAGATCTCCAACTGTTTAAAAGGTTAAATTCAAACTATTCAATAATTTAAATGAATTATTACAATATGGGTATCGATCGAAATGGTTTTACAATGGCTTCATTTTAAAACTACATGTAAGGGGTTTCCATCTGTTTAAAATCTCAAATTGAGTTCAGGGGATATGTTAATTGAAAAAGTATTATAAGTTAGAAAGAAAGTTTTAAGTAGTTTGAAATTATTTTGAAGATGGTTAAACAAAATTTAAACCTCCTTAATTGAGTTTTCTTGAAATATATTTTACTCAATGTAGCACGTAGAAATTTCATACACTCAGCGAACCGAGTGAGGGCGACCTAGTCCTTACTTAATATTATAAATCAGAAAGTGAGTTTGTTTGTTTGCTACGCTTTCACGCTTAAACTACTCAACCGATCATTATGAAATTTTGTACACTCCTGTCATTTAGGCCAACTTAAAATATAGGATACATTTAATCTCGATTAGACAAGGGGGCATGGCACCTCCCATACAAACGGATTTTTTCATACTGTATTTCTCAGGAAATATTTTTGGTAGATACTGGAACTTGGTATGGAGTTATATAAAATCATTATCTACTCATGGAAGAGGGCTGCCACCTTTAAAAAAAATCAAATTCAACTTCAATTCAAGAGAATTAGAAAAGCTGTAGTTTGAATATATCTTGAAAAGGGTTGCCACCGTTTTGAAAAGTCAAATTTAAATTAATTATACGCATCCATTTTGAAATTGTCACCAACTATACTATAAAGTTTCTGGGGCAGATTCACTATAGAACCGGTTCATTGTTGTCGCCAGGGAGTGAAAAGGAAATGTTCTTCAAATTTATTTCGTTGTGAGATTAACCGTTCTATGGAATGCTGCACAATTAGAGGATTTCAAGAACTTCTTCACGGACATAATACTTTCGTTAGATTCTTTAAGGCGGCTAACGACCACCAAACCATAATCTTAGCCGATGAGCATGCCAATTGAAATCGTAAACGTGAATTGTTGGTGAAAATGTTGAACCAAAGTGTTTCAATGATAAAATTAATTTTGGGCGGGACGAAGTATGCCGGGTCTGCTAGTATTATAATATTTCGTTTAAACTAATTGAATTTTATTAAAAAAATGTGGCAACCCTTGTGGAAGACTTCAATATTATTCAGAACTTTCAATCTAAAGGTTTCTTAACAATATTTCGTTTGACAACCATATTTTAATTCTTCAGATAATTCAACTATCCGACCAAAATCTTACTTTGCCTACCAACCTACCAAATGAAGAAGAAACTCGATTCAAGTATTGCCTTCAGTCTAATACAGTAGTGTCCAACCGGTAGCTCGCGGGCGCCTGGTAGCTCGCGACCTAAATTTTAGGCGCCCGCAAACAAGAAGATGAACAGAATATTTTGTATTGAATTGAAAAGTTTAACAATTGGAAGCTTTTTTGGTACATAAGTAAGCTTTTATTTTTGAATTTTCACGAACTCATTCACTTCTTATCTTTCTATGCTAGACATGACAGAATCTCTGTTTCAGGATTTTTAAAACAAAAACAGCGTAATCTCAGCAATAAAAATGTGTCGTTATCTGATGACCTTCCAAACGATATTCATGGCCAAATAAAAAGCGATTTCAAGAAATGTGACTAGGTTTCCTTACAAATGGATGAGTCGACCGATGTTTCAGACTCTCCGCACTTATTAGTGTTCACCAGAGTTGTATTTTCTGATTTTTCTGTTAAGGAGTCATTTTTAGTCAATCTGACTTTGGAAACTCGTACTCGTGGGCAAGATATATATATATATATAACGTAGTGAAAAAGAAGGAAAATCTGATTGCAAAAACACTCAACCTTGACAATGTTATGAGCACGATCATTCGTATTGTGAATTTGATTCGCGGATGACCGTTAAAGCATCGGCAATTCAAAGACTTGCTCGATGAATTTGAGAGTGAATTCGGTCACATATTCCACCACTCTGAAGTAAGATGGCTGAGTCAAGGTAAAGTGCTCTCAATATTTATAGCTTTGATGACAGAAATAAAGATTTTCCTGAAATCCAAAGGCAGCATTTTTAACTGATGTGACTGCAAAACTAAATGATTTCAATACAACTTTGCAATCTCGAAATCGATGTATGGATAGAGCAGTTGACAAAGAAAAACTTTCAACATTTCCAGACTTTTACTCTTCTGGAACAGGCTTTTTCATAACTAATTGTTATAAAAAACAAATACCGAAACGTACTGACTGACGAACATGTCAAAACTACCATGATTTTACCCTGCACAACTGTGCAATATAAACCAGATTTTAAGAAGTTATCTTAACTTATGTCATATCTATCGATTCAGCGCCAAATTTTGCCGTTTTGTTAATCAATCTCCGAAGAAGGTTTTGCAGATCGCATCGATCTCAAATCGTATGAATTGCAGCACATTCCCATATGTTTACAATAAAATGAATGTTCTTCATTAAAATATTATGCACTGTTATTAATTTAACTTAACTGTATAAACTTTAATAATAAATAAATATTTTAAAAGGATCAGTTAGTAGAATATATACATTGAATATAAGAAGAGTGAAACGAGTTAACGCAGTTAAGATTGAAGTTAAGCTAGGGGTGCCCGCGTATTATAGCGATAGTTTCAAAGTAGCCCTTTGTCCAAGTTCTGTTGGACACCACTGGTCTAATAGCTCAACCAGCTACCGATGTACGTGTTAACGAAAACTCACCAGCGCATAACGGTGATGTTGCCGTTACTTCTTTCTCTTTCTATCAACAGCAATTTCATATGTTGATACGGACGGCAGGATTTGACGACTGTATGAAGTCCAGTCCAGTTTACGTCTATCATCAGGCACGTATCAGGACGTGACAATATCGTAGCCGACACCGCAGAATCTATCTCAGCCACTGTTTCAGCGCAATAGCTCGCCGCCGCATAACAAAACGATAGTGAACTTCGGCAGCTTATCAACAATTACAGCTATTTGACTCACTTCACTCTCTCGCACATCCAGGCATCCGTCGGTGGCAGGTTGAGCTAATGGCAAAGAAATTTTCTTGTGTTAAATTTCCTTACGGCAGTGCGCAGTTCTTAAGAAATTTGCTAGGCTTTGTACTACGGATTTCTAAAGTTTTTTTGTAAAAAAAGAGCACAAGGCAACCCATTTTTGCAACAGAAATATATGCCAACTCCATTACCTCTGGAGAAAAGAATGAGGCAACAGGCTGTGACGTATCAGATGCCAAAATTCCTTGGACAAACTCACGAAGTAAAGTCAATTTTTTCTTGACCGTTTTCTTGAGAGCTGCATACTGGCCATTAGCTACTAAGCACTTATGGAAAATGTTTGAAATGGAACATAATGGGATAAAACAATAATTAATACTAGCACCCGGTATTTTAAATCAAAAATAGCAATAGTGGAGTTTTAATGTAAACAATATCTTTAAGATTTTAATTAAGTGGAATAAAATAATTACTTTATTTAGTTTTTTTTTTTTAGGATATGCCGATTACTGTTTGAGGTAAGTACTTTATTTATGCATTAACTTAACTAAACAATATTATGGTAACCATAAAAATACCTAAGGTTCCACTCCAATTTGCTCGATGATGTTGACACACAATTCAATTTTATGACGCGTTTAGAATCTAAACTTTTGATAGCGTTATATAAAAAGCTTTATCTTGGCAAAAGTAAACTCGGAGGTTTGACATTCACTGTTGAGAAGCATCGCTTTTAGAACATATTTTTTGAAGTAAAACTTCTTGACCCATTGGGATCAAGTTGTCAAATAACGTTCAATTACAGGCATACAACTCGATTCAACGGGGAGTGATGAATCAAAGTTCGAGTTATCTGACCTACAAGCATCCGACCTGATTTGTCCCTCATTTATTTTTTATGCAAATAGAGGCTCCAGCAATTTTTATGAAGTGTGAAGTAAAGTGTTTTGTGATATAATTTTCCTTTTAGGAAGTTTCATTATGTGAATTTGATGCAAGGTCCATTTACAGAGTCCCCTGTAATAAAACGATAATACTATTTTGTAAAAAATACAATATACAAATTTATACGTTGGGCTTATTAAAGCAATGTATACATATAAATACTTATTTATTGCTTACAGTGTTTGTAAAATGAAGGATGTAATTAAGTAACCTAACAACTTATTCAGAATTTTGATATAATAATTTAAATTACAAACTCAATTTTGTGCTTTCCTTTTACGAACCTTTCTATTATCCCTTCCGTGTCAATTTTAATCAAATAACACACCTCTTTGAGGTAAAATTTTCGAGTGACGAAAGCTGAACTAGAAACACAAAATTTATGATATCAACTTGGAAACGTACGGAAAATCTTTTTTATTCATAGGAATCGTTCAAAAGTTCTGTTTTTTATTTTGTGTTTCTAGCAGTAGACGGAATTTCGCAACGTTCCGAATAAATAAAAAATAATTTTCCGTACCTTTCCAAGGCAGATAAAAAATGTGCATAATTTTCGTCACGAAATTGATATCATAAATTTTGTGTTTCTAATTCAGCTTTCGTCACTCGAAAATTTTACCTCAAAGAGGTATTTTTTT